TTGCCCAAATTTGATAATCTTGGTCCTAAATTTGGGCCACTGGCAGGGACACGACCGTTACACAGAACTGTTTGGGGATCGATATTAGGCTTTCGTGTAGTTCACAAATGTATATTATTCCGAACGGATGAGAATGTGAAAAAAGTTGGCTGCGTTTATCTACTTAGAACCTCTGACGTACTACCAAGATCGCTTGAATCGTCATGGCAATTTACGGTAGCATGGCTGGTGCCGCAGAAAATTATCCACAAATCAGCGTCTGCGTAATGAAGATTTCCTTTTTTACTCAACTCCTCGCGCAATTGCTGCTGTAATGTACGCATTTCTCCCATGACAAGTCTCTCTAGATCTGGATGTCCACCAAGCACTAAAATGATAGCTCGGACTGCGTCAACTGCTCCCTCGGCGCTAGTATCTATCTGCATGTTTGTGACACCTTCTCTTGTCAACTGCGACGATATAAGTCGCTGCTCTCGTGGGACGTGAGTAGAAACTCATCGTCTGCTTCTTCGCTGATGATGGCTATGGTATTTAGCGCTTCCATCTACTTGTCGGCATCGGCGGTGCAGCAAATGAAGTCGTTCATGTTCATCAGGTTGCGGATGCGTAGCTGACACGTTTGTATTAGCAGGCTAGTTTTAAATTGTGTATTAGATTCATTGCGTCATCTGCGAGTAGTGGTACAGCCGGGCACGAGCCCTGTGTGCCGAAAGCAGGTTATATATATATATATTATCGCTTGAAACGTCAAGCCAGAAGGATTTTATCCGATTGATAGCCGTGATCTAGTCCAGCATGTAGATACTGGTCTTTAATCCTTGTTCCTCCATAATCAAAGTGTGCTCGAGCTGGCGATGCCGGTATCAACGCTTAAATGAGGAGATATACCGACGTCCATTTTCTGCAGCTTCAAAGTCGTTTTTTATAGGAAGGAACACGGCTTTCACGCTCTTTATCCTCCATGTCATGAGCAGTATGCGCCGATGCATTGTCGGAAGGAGAACGGTGTTTCGATTTTGAGCGTGCATGTCGTTTCGAGATTGAGCAGCTACTATTGGAATAGGACACCTTTCATCCACGCCATAATGTCGCTGCAGCAGTTGGAGCCGAGTTGACCCATGTCTTCTTCTGAAAACAGCGCGGCTTCTTCACATGACCGATGATGAGTGGATTGCATTTGTCTGAGCCGTCAGCGTTGCACATCAGAGTGACATTTACAATAGTCTTTCTCTTCTTCGATCCTTCCACTTGTCGTTGGGCGATAGTAGTATCAGGTGCAAGGCAGTAGAACAGCCCTGTTCTATCCATGTTGTAGTTTCAGCAATTGGGATTCCTTTTAGACGTTCCCTAACGGCGTCGCGCTGATTGGGTTATTTCTCCAATTTTACAAAGTCGCTCTCACCGTGAGGGCTACGTTGCTTGAAGCCGTGACGTCCCTGGTAAGCTCGAAGCTACTCATTCGAAAAAAACAGCAACTGGTCTTCTTGTATACCGCTCAACGTTGCAAAACCCTTCGCTACCACCTTGATCAGTTCTACGCTTGGCATCACGCGCTTGGATTGACACTGCAGCACCCAGCTTGCAAGGGCTTCATCTACTGCAGGAAATGCAAGCACTCAACTTCGCTTACTCTTGAGGTCGAGATCCATTACGTGCAGGAACTTCTGACGATCACGCATATTCCCGGATATCGTCCCCTGGACTGGCTCCTTTATAAGATTGAACTCGCGCTTCGACTTATCTGCCATCTGCGAATGTGTAACAGGGACGTTTGCGTCATACCACAAACAGATCTTCTTCTTCTGCTCATAAGTCAGGTTACCAACCTGTTTGGGTCGCGACAGCATCGTTGTGTAAACAGCGAATTGGTAAACTGAAAAGTGATTTATTCAGCTGTGCATTATTCTCTTACTGTAAGTGCTTTTGCTTTGCTGTCCACTCATTTTGTTTATCCAACGATTGAAAAAAGAAAAGTTCTTCCTATGTCTTGGATGGTGTCATCATTTGAAAGTAGGGGACGTCACTGCTGGCAGGCAATGCTGGTGAAACCTATACACCAAGACCCGAAGGCTCCACTTTACCTTTAGCTCGAGCCATTTCTGGAACCGGTGACCTCTCGGATGGTGCTGCCAGACCAACCCGGTTGGTCAAGACGCGTACACGACGTGCGTCATACACAACACTATTTTAAATGTGTACACAGTTGTTATACACACTCGCACAAACTAAAATTAAGCATATAAAACTACCCTCCAATGCGTATGCACAACGCATCACCAACACTTTGTTGCGCGGCAAGTTCACCGTCGAGTCGCTTGAACTAGAAATTGTGCTGAGATTAGGTGCTGACCACGAATACGGGCTTATTTCATGTTTTTGATGGCTGCTAATGACTGGAGGGTGTTCGCACCTCTCGAATATAATGCTAATGTAATATATGGTACGCTTGCGCTAAACGGGTCGTATATAATGTGGCAGGTTTATGTGTAATATGTCCGTCAGTATTATCTTAGCCACGTAATATTGATAAATATTATCGACTAAAAAGATATTTACAGTGATATGTTTTCGAGAAATTAGATAGAATAATACACTTTTTATCGAAAATTCGTAGAATAGGACACGTTTTTGTTATACACAGGATATGACACTTTCTTCAGCAGCTATAAGAGGAATACAAGACGGCGAATATATCATGCGCGCGCAGCCTTTCTGCGTAACGAAGCGATTCGGCGATGGCTCTTCAAACACGAGCTGGTGTTCCTCTTGCTGCACTTCAAGCTGGAAAGCGTCCCGCTGCTCCGCTAGGTGCAGTTTCGACCACCAGTTACGTCATTCATTGTTTAACTGACAATGAGGAGCTGTTTGAAATTTTTTAATCCTTATCGGAGATCGACTGACGATAATTTACTGTTGTGTTTTAGTTTTCACAATATTTTTGGGATCCTCACGAAGTAGACATTGAACATATCCTTCCACCAGATTGAACTGCTCCCGTTGCGCATTGATTGTCTCAGCACACACTGCCTCCTTTGCTTTGTGAGCGGTATTATACGAAATGTCGACACCAAGTTTTCGTTTTAGAAACTGCTGAACATCCTTAATAGGAGCCTTGCTATTCACTGTCATGCCTTCGCGAAGCTGCTTTTACAAAAACGTGTGCTCATGCTGGGATCTCCGAGATACCTCAAGCGATCCTTGGCATGAATGCTGATCTTGCACCTGACTGATACGAAATTGTTCGTTTTTTTGTGGAATGATATTCGGGCATATGCAGGACAATCGTCACCTGAACACTTGAGGTAGGCTCTGGTTTTGTTTCTGTCGGAAACTTTGTAGCTGACGTGATCTTTTGCTGCCTGTGATCGAATTGCCATCATTGCTTCATCCATAGTAGCGAAGGATAGTCCTTTTAAAGCTGGCCTGTCGGGAGTGATGGTAGGTGGCATGACGGTTGATTGAGGATCCTGTAAAAGAAGCAGGTTTGGAGCGATGGGAAGAGTGATCTTGAGGGATGATGTCTCGGAGATGATCTTTCGAGACTGCGAGGGGAAATTAAGGGGACTAGTTTGCGTCGCTCGCGAGGCTCAGACCAAAAAGACTAAAAAGTGTCATATCTTGTGCATAAATAAAAGTGTCCTATTCTACGAATTTCCGATAAAAAGTGTTCTATTCTATGCAATTTCTCTATTTTTTATAACCAATAATATGTAACGGGCTTACCCCGTTACAACACCCGTGCTGGACGATGGTACGTACAGCTACACGAAAAATAGAACGGATCGACGACTGCCGCGACGAATAGTTCGCAAACAATCGGCACTTTGCCATCGCCAATAGGTGATGCATTATACGGCGAGAAGCCTGGAACACGGTGCTTTGTCATTCTCTACCAAGGTCGTCATGACATTAGGATAGGAACGGGACGACGTGCTTACCGCAAATGCCGTTCTGACATCCGCCGCCGCAGCAGAATTGCTCCGAGAACACGATCACAGCTCGACCGCTAGTCCACGAATCAAAAGGAGCAGTGGTTGAAGGTACACACACGAAGTCAATTGGGTACTCCAACAGCCACGCGGACACATTGCCACTTCAGCGAGACGTCTTGCCGAATGATAAGAACGATTGCTGTTCCAAACGTCTGTCGGTACATGTAGTCTTCGTCTCTCTTCGCCGTCGTACACGATGCAAACTAACTTACCAAACTTTTCGACAGTTGAGCAGCTCAATGTACTTGATAGAGACATATGCGGCGGCGGAACGCATGACACGGCAACAGGGTGTTTGCTCCCCACACTGCGGGCACCTCGTCATCACACTTGAACCTCAATGACGACCATATCAAGATGCCCCAAGTTTGACGTCCGCGACGTGCTCATGGGTAGATGGCACCAAAACACAGCGTGATCTTTTGTCAGGCGTCGCACCTTTTGCATGACGTCGCTCCGCATATTCAACTAACGCCCTGCTTATTCCTTTTCGCAAACATCTCTTTTGCCCGTCGCTCTTTCTCTACTGTTTGTCCTCCAGCATGTGCATAGTTTGTAGACGCACTGGCAAAGCTTGCGGCCAATGCCGTGCAACTTCCAAACGCAGCGACAGGTCAAACTTGGCATATGTATTAATGGCGATGATACGCACGTGTTGCAATCCCTGACGGACACCTGCATGCCGACAAGAAAGCTTTGCGCATCATGCTAGTAGTTCCCATTGCGCTTCAATCAAATTAAATTACCAACGCCGCAGTCCCCCACCGTGCCAATCTATGCTGAACTTTGTCGACATGACCGTCAAGCGCAACACTCCGTGAAGTTGAGTCGATCGACGTAGCGGCAAGTCGCTAGTACCCTTTATCAGCCAAATCCACACACTCAACTACGCGCTCACTCTATTTCGCTGCACCCCACTGCAGTCTCGTGTCTCCAGCAGCGCCGTCAAATAGATATGCGACCAAAACAATGGACCTAAAACGGCGGCGCATGGCCCACATGGTCCACCTAAGCTTCGCACTGCGTGTTCCAACGCCACTCGTACTGCTGCAACGCATTGGCAAAGTGCACGAGCGCGGCCGCCACGACGCAAATGTGCCAAAGTTGGTGGCTCGAGAACCACAGGTCAAAGCGGCCTGGGTAAAAGCGCTCGGGGAACTTGGTCGCGTAAATGATGGCCCCGCTCGTGTACAAGAGGCCCATCAGCAGCAGCGGCCCGATCATGATCGTCACGTGCGGGTCCGAGAGCCCAAAGCGCCACACAAGGTGCGTCACGGGAACCACACCAAAAAAGCCCAGCGCGAGAAAGATGCACGTGCGCGCCACGAGGAACTTGGGCGTGCCAAAGACTGGCAACAGCGCCACGGTGAACGTCAGTGCAGCCAGCGTCGAGATCACGACCAAATAGACGCTGCGCTGCCACGGGTGGCAGTAGAACGAGTAGTAAATCATGGGGTAGAACGATCCCGCAATGAGGATCGTAATGCCAGCGTAGTCCAGTCGCGACAGCAGCGTGTAGGCCGAGCGACTCACGACAAACATCAAGTGGAACGTCGCGCTGCAGCTGAGGCAAATCACAGCGCTCGCCAAAAAGACAAACAGCGGCCAACGGGGCACGTCGTGCGGGCCCTCGTCGGCAGCCAACAGGTGCAGTCCACTGCGGACGCTCTCGGCGACCGCCTGCAGTTCCTCCAGTACGTACTTCATGGGCCCATCGGCCCCCACGTCGCGTACAAACACCAACAGCGACTCGACGCGGTCGTCGAGCTGCCTCTTGAGCGACTGCACGCGCTCCGACGGCGGCACGTCACGCAGCACACGGGCGCTGAGACGGGCCGAGAGAGCTCCGAGTTCGTACCGCAGCTGCTCGAGTGGCGCCGCCATTGAGTCGGAAAAGCCGCCGCCATGGGGCTCCAGCAGCGCGTGGAGGCGCTGCAGACTGTGCGCGAGCACAGCGCTTGCAACGTCATAGTACTTGGCCGGCGCCTCCGCAGAGCTCGCAGAAGGCGGCAGCGGGCAGAGCTCGGGCAGCGCCACGGCCAGCAACAGTCGTGTAGTGTGGCGGCCGTCGCGGAGGTACAGCGCGTCGTCGCTCGTGCACCGTCTCGAGTGTGGCGGCGGTGTGTAGTTGCTGAGGACCGCCTGCGCACGGCTGTCGCGGGCGGGCGCGAGCGCGTGGCCCGACAGCGCGAGGTACAGCATGAGCACTGCAAAGATGAACGAGCCCATGACGTGCGTCCAGACGTTGAGCGTCTCGTTGTGGAGCTCAAAGAGCGAGAGGAAGCAGTCGCGCGCCGAGTAGTGGAGGCGGTAGCCCGACCGGATGTACGAGTTGTCGGCGAGGTAGGCGAAGCCTTCGGCGTGGAGGCGCTCGAACGTGTGCAGTGTGCCGGTTGGGGAAGAAGAAGACGGCGGCGCGAGGGCGGGGGGCGCACGGGGCGGCAGCAGGTGGTGCTCTGTTTCCATTGCGTCTCGAGAGCGTTTGGGGTGACGACGAGTGGCCGAGTGGCCGAGCGGATCAATTGAGTGAGTGAGTGAGTGAGTGAGTAGTGACTGACTAGTGAACTGCTGGGGGGGCGCAGCTTCCTGTATCGAGGACACGGACGGGTCGAGTGGTTGGCCAATGGCGGCGGCGGATTGTGGGTGGACGTCGGCGCGAAAAAACGGCGCTAGGAGTCGACGGATCTGAGTGATACCTTTGGCCACTGCCACTGCCGCCGCCGCTTGTTTTTCCTTCTTCTTTTCTGTTCCTTGAGCCGACGGTTGGACGTGTTTCGGTAGTCTGTCTGTTTGTATGTTGTTTGTCTGTTTGTGTTTGTTTGTCTGTTTGTGTTTGTTTTTTCTCATTGTGCGATACGACTTTGCGTCGTGCGATGAGACACGTCGTGGGTGGTGTCGAGCGGTCTGGCAGACTGGAGAGAGAACAAAGAGACGATGGAGAGGGGAACGAGTTGGTCAATTATATATCGTCAATCGAGTGAGACGGTCAATCAGAGTCTGCGTGTGCGTATCAGTAGTAGTGCGTTGTACGAGAAGGCACCGCGTTGTTGGTTGCAAGGGGAAATTGATGGGAGGTGCGAGTCTACGAGAAGATTGCGACAACAAGTGGCTACTCTTGACAGCACGGATCCAACAGACACGCTGCGCGTTTTGTGCTGGATGAAGATATGCAACATAAGAACAGCCATTGATGCTGTTTGCCTTCGTAGTGACGACATTGCAACAGTACATCAACCGTTGTGCACAAAAAGAATGGATAACAAACGTCTACGCCTATGCATGATCCCGTGCCTGTAAATGGCCGAACGGCGGAGATGAGATATTTGTAGCCAAGTAGAGCCGTGCGCCTCATATTAGTGCTACTACTCAATTTACTGCGTATGATATGTGCAGAATTTACTGAGTTGGGTTCAAAAAGGTTCGACATGTAATATATTATCGAATGATTCCGACTTTTGATTCTTGCTCTCTTTTCTTATGAGATTGCGTAATACGATTTCTGTCATCAGTCGAGTTGTCGGAGATCGATGTTCGAGTTAGTGTGCACAACATTGAAACTCTAGATTAGCGTTTCGTACACATCTCGTCAAGCTGCAAAACGTCAAGTGGAACGACCTCGCACCCTAAAATCATCAGGCGATGATGAATGAGCTCGTAAATAGGAACACATGCATCTGGCCTAACGTCTAATGCGCTCAATTGACACCGGTCAACATACCACTCGATGAAGCGAGTGAGATCCATACGGAAATTCGTACAGGTCACCAAAACATCGACGCATCAAAACATTCGTTCATGAATGTGTTTAAAATAGCTGAGTATGAGCTGCATGACTGAACACCGATCATGCTCATGTATGCTGTTGGTCCGGAGCCTCATCTCAGGCCGCCTTGTTATCATCTCATGCTTGTTCCGTGACCCAACGATAAGCACAGTAATTCATCAGCAAAGTTCCTACGCGTCTTAAGTGCTGAACGGACTTCTGCCCTTCCTAACGTCTCCGTCTCTATCTAGCACAATTTGACCATGCTACCTTTCCGCGTGTCTCGCCACTCTTTTGCGACTTTGTTTTCAGATAGACCATAACACAGCAAAATCACTTGGTGCCTTACCCTTGTAGCACTTCTTCACTTCTCAACAAAGCATCTGAAGACGTCCAGCTCAGAATTTGGCAATCGACGCTTTCAGGAGCTACAAAGCGTCACAAGCACTTTTGTATGTAACTGTTGTCTTCTTTACAAACTGCTAAGGGCTGTTGGCAACAGTAGACTGCATTGACTTACTAATCACTGAGTCACATCAGCACCATCTGTGAGCATAAAATCAAATGATCGATACCGACGAGCGCCTGATTCCGATAGCAATGTCACCTCACACGTTCGCGACCCACGCAGTAATTAGGCTCGACGAACGAGAGCAAAAAGCGACAGCCCACTTTGCGACCACGCTATTCAACTGCAAGTGGTTACTTCTACCCACCAGCAGCATCGATGGATGCCTTCAACCGTCGCTAAACTTGTACGCATGCTCATAAACACCCATCAAGCAACCGTCTGGCAACGTCCAGCTCTTCAAACATCCCTCAATCAAAGCAGTTCGAGTCTTCGCACCGTCTCCATGGCGCCACTTTGGGCGACAGCATCACCTCAGATAGCAGTGCAAACTCGGTGGTCCAAACACGCCAACGCTACAACTGCACCGCATCATTTGCCATCGCCTAATTTAACGTGCGAAGAATCGGAGTCGGGCAGTGCGTGTCTGTGACATGTGTCGGTCTTCTTCTCTTCTTCTTCTTCTCCCTTCCCCGTTGAGCCCCCCCACCCCACCCCACAGGAGAAGTGAGGAAACCGTACCAGCCGCCCGTCCATCACTTTCCAACGCGCCGTCCATCGCACAGCCAGTGGACCCCTTCCATCCGTCGAGCACCAACCCGTACCCAAAAAGCTGCCTGCACTACCACACGCTAACCAGTACGTACATCCACATGGCCGCTACGAACCACACGACGAGCCAGTCGTCGAACACGTCTGCGCAAGCGCGCGACGTCATTTCGTGGCACGCCTACACGAGCGGTCTCAAAGCCGGCGCAGTTGCGGCAGTGGTCGCTGCCACTGCTGTCGCGACGGCCAACAAGTACTGGTCCACGTTTCGCCACCGGTTGGGGGTGAGTGGCAAGACGGCGCTCGTCGTGTCGCCCTTCTTGGGCGCGTTTACGATCGTCGCGGAGAACCGACTGGTCCACGGCGCCCGGAACCCCGAAATGTACTTGGCGACCCTCAACGGCCCGGCGGGCGCAACGTTACCGCACGAGACGCCGCAGCTGAAGCTCTGGCAACGGAGCGCCAATGCGCTGTACGAGCACCCGTACCGCGCGCTTGTGGCCGTGGGGGGCCCTCTGGTCGGCGGCATTTACGGCTACCAGCACCTGAACAAGGGCATCTCAGCCTCGCAACAGATTATGCACACCCGCATTTACGGCCAAGCGCTGGTCGTCGTGCTCTTGCTGGGGTCCATGGCCTTTCATGACTACATGGGCAAGCGCGGTAAGTATACGATCGAAGGAGACGAGGAGGACTAGTGGAGCGCAAAGGACGCAGACGGGCGGAGACTGCGAGTGCGAGGCAGTGGTCGCGAAACGCCCGTGTGTGGGGCACTGTCGCGGACTCGATCGGTGCTGAAGGAGATTATGGTGGCTGGCTCACGGCTGCAATCGAGCGACTCGTTTTTCATTTGCGTTGGTCCGGTGCAACGGCGCTTTTGTCTGTCTGTCTGTCTGTCTGTCTATCTCATCTTTGTTGACTTTGTATTTGGGTCACCAGGGGAGCACGTTGATGTTGACTGGAGACGACCGTCTTGCAATGTACTCTGCCGACAGTGCAGAAATGGGAGAGCGTTTGGGGGTTGAAACACACGTGAGCACAGGTCGCTGCTGAGCCAATGAGTGACGCATGCAACAAGAGCGACATGACGAACGCTGCAAAGATGAAGTGCCGATGCCCGATTCTTGTGACAGCGACAACTCGATCGAAGGCGGTCGTACGAAGATACAGCAAATTGTACGTGGCCAAAGCTACAACTGTAACCGGATGTCGCGTGTATGCGAATATACGTGCGAGTCGTCGTCTTCCACCTGACCTACATCCCGATTGCATGCAAACGATGTGTGCAGCTTGCTGTACAGCACCATTTCTTCCGTGCGGTAGGGTACACCCAGCTGCACGTGTCGGGCACTGAAGCACCAGCAGTGCTAAGATTGTGTCTCCATTGCTTCGAAGAAGGTTTGGCCTATCAACTAGTGTTACACTTCAGCTTCTTGTGATCTCGAAGTAGGGCAAGACGGTCAATAGCGCAATAAACATGCACCATGTCGTTCACTTGCTTTCGAGCATGACGTTGGACGTTGTCATGTGCATGGGGAATAGATGTAGGTTGCCTTGGTGCAAGGTCTGGCACCTGCGTCAACCACACCTTCCCGACAGCAGTAATGTCCATCTGTCCAAGCGCTTTCCATAGGCTGTGATCCGAACGGGTGTAGAAGACCGACCGCTGGCGCCTAATTGTAGCGTATGCTTTTTTTGCAACAAACTACTGCAACCTGCGTCCTCACATCAAGTGTCTGTGCTATACGACGACGTGTTCCTCATAGCGCTGCAGCTTATTGACTTACAATTACTCCACCAACCTGAGTCACGTTTCTCACTCAGCACTCGCATTGAGCCACTCGCCAATGTTTTATATTGCAGCACTGAACGCCTAAATGATGACAATGTATGTCGTACTTGAGCTACGGCATATTGAACTATCCCTTTCCCGCGTGTGCAATCGTCTTGCAGCTACATTTTGACTGCATCGAGCAATGCCGTTCCATTTCCAGTGCTGCCTGCGAGACGTTGTCCCCTCGTGAGCTGATACCTCTAGCACGGTGTCAATGTGGGCGTCCACCGATCTCGTCCGAGGCTGCTACGTTAGGAGGTGTAGCCAGTGTACGCAATGTAACTTTATCGATCGAGACTCTTGAACATAAATGGCTCGTTCCTGGCAGCACAGGAAACTGATCAAGCACTGTCGTCACTGAGTACATGTTATGCCAACCACTGTCGTCACTGAGTACATGTTATGCCAACCACTGTCGTCACTGAGGATATGCTATGTCAACCACTGTCGTCACTGAGGATGCAGTGTGATTGTCGAACACTGCTGTCACTGAGTACATGTTCGCTTGACATACCAAGTGGAAGGTCATGGGAAGCAAGCTGAGCAGACCGGTGACTTGCATGGGACGTATCGAGTAGGGTGTAGACGTCACGTAGGACGTTGACCATCGTTTCGGCCCTCATGACCGTTTTTGCGACGAATGCCATCGATCCAGTGAGTTCAGCGACTATTTTCACCCTCGTCGACCTTTTGAACCTCTTCCGTAATACCGCTCACGATCAGCGTCGGCTGACCTTGCTCGATCTCATCCATACAGCTGAGCAGCTCCGAATCGAGACAAGCTTCCGATCACGCAGCTGATAGAGCTTTGCCATCAGCCTCTGCTCCACCCAAGTCTGCAGATTCTACTTCGAGCCATCGCTATTCCTCTTCATCTCCATTGCAGGAGGAGAGACACTGTAAAAGTCTGTGCGATCACAGAATTGGAAATGGTGATAGCCGAAATCTTCGACGAGGCGGCTGGCTACCCACGAGCGCATGGTAGTAAGTCAGTTGACTACGCAAGCACTGCCGATCTACTCACGCTCGTTGCAATCGATTGCACTATGCAGCAAGTAGCGGCGGCAGCATCGCTTGCATACAGAGGGGAACCGACATTGTCGGCTCAATCGCGGCCGTTGAATCCGACGATACAGGTGAAGTCTTGACATTGTCAAGCGTTGCGGATTTTACAGCGCACCATATTCATTCGTGGGAGCCTTCACCAGAGGCTTTCCATCTTCAGTCGAACAGAGCCCGTACGTTGTCAGAGGAGAGCATTACATAACCGAACAACGTTTTTCAGTAGCAAATCGAAGGAAGAAATATACGGCCGAGCAGCGTTCCCAGCCGCCGGTGCCATCCGCGATCGTAGCTACCTGCCCCCGAGCACCACGACATGGACCTGCCCCCCAGCATCTTCAACACCGTCCGCAGTATCAACACCAGACGCAACCGACTGCTCCACGCCCCGTCCATCCACCAATCCGCATATCCGACTGTCTGTCTATCTGCCCGATCCCTCGCTCGTCTTAGTCTCAAAGCGACAGCATCGTAACACACACACACGAACCAACAACTGACCTTTCACTCACACACCCACACACTCACACACTCACACACACACACACTCACACACTCACTCACACACTCACTCACACACTCACTCACTCACTCACTCACTCACTCACTCACACACTCACTCACTCACACACTCACTCACACACTCACTCACTCACTCCTCACTCCATCAATTAGCACCCGCAACACCGACCAGCGCCCCACCCATAGAGTCCAACCACGTGCCCCCCCCAACCAAAACCTTTCGCCATCTTCCACGTCCCCCGTCGCACTCGTCGTCCTCCTCCTCCTCGTCCCCCCTCCTTCATGGACGACTGCGTCCACGCCGCCGCCGCCTCGGGCATGTTCGCCCAGTGCTCCGAGCCCACGCTCCGCGCGCTCTGCGCCCGCGCCGCGTCCGTCACGTACGCCAAGAACGCCGTCGTGTACCACCAGGGCGAGCCCCAGACCGAACTGCTGCTGCTCCAGACCGGCAGCGTCGAAGCCACAAAGGTCATCGACGGTCAGGAGCACACGCTCAACGTGCTCACGCGCGGCGCCGTGGCCTCCAACCACGCGCTCGTGCAGGACCCGGCGGCCGTGACCGTGCGCTGCCTCACGCCCGTCACGGGCTTTACGCTCTCGAGCGCTGCGCTCAACGACGTGCTCGAAGGCGACCGCCGCGCGTCGCGCGAAGTCATGCGGAGCCTCAGCAAAGAGATCCGTCGCCAGGCGTCGCTGCTGCAGACGCCGCTCTTTGAGCAGCACGCGAAGCCCACGCCGTACTTTGCCACGTCGGTGGCTGCCTCGATCGAGGCGTTCTACCGCAGCGGCATGAACTCGCTCTTGAACGCGCGCCTCACGGGCCAACCCGTGGCGCGGCTCTTCCCCGAGATGCACCTGCAGATCCCCACGCGCGTCGTCTACATCAATGGCTTTAAAGGCATTCGCCACGTGCTCGAGAAGACCGTGCGGGCCGACGAGTTTGACTACCCGCACGTCGTGCGCTTGGCTGAAGCCGTTGCGCCCGGCGTGCTCATGACGCCCGTGAGCAGTATGCTCGAGGCCTTTAACGCCGGCCACATGAACCCCGAGTCGCTCGCCACGCGCTGGATCCGCGGCACGGCGCCGCGCATGCTGCGCGAAGTGATCTTTGGCGTCGGCTTGAACCAGCTGTCGGACTACTTTGAAGAGCGGCTGTCGGTCACGGCCAGTCCCGCGCTGAACAACGCCATTGGGAGCATGATGGCCGGCGTCGTGTGCGGCTACCTCTCGCACGTGCCGCACAATCTCTCGACGATGAAGCTCATGCACCCGCAGAAGAGCTACGGCGAGCACATGGACGACTTTATCCGGCGGGCCGAAGTGCGCGTCCCCATGACGGGGTCGCCGCGGCAGCGGTACGTGGCCGCAACGGCAATGGCGCTGCTCTTCCCCAAGGGACTGACCGTGCGGACGTCGCAGATTGTGGGCTCGTTCATTATCCTGAACGGCACGATCAATTCGCTCAAGGAAGTCGACGTGGACACGTTCAAGCGCTACATGTCGAGCTAAGGCGAGTGCGTAGATGGGCAGAGTGAGTGGGGGGGAGCGGGACAAGAAGATGTGGACGGACGAATGGACGCAGTCTACAGACCGACGGACAGCGCATAGTGGCGTTGCGAGCCGGTGCAGCGATTCGGCGATGGCAGCTCAGGTGGACTGGACGCAACGAGATGAAGTAGACGAGCGCATGGCGAGGCGCTTGGGCTGCGTCAGGTCAGAGAGACGAGTGCGGCACGGGGGCAGCAGAGCAGCCAGAGCAGCCCCAAATGATACTAATAGGACAGAATGTGTTTTGCCATGTCGAGCTCCCGTCGTGTTGCACGTTCGCTGCCCCGAGTCGTAATGGCACGCGGGCAGCTGAGTAGATGAGGGACAGTGTGGTCATTTGCTCGTGTTGTTCCTTCCTGCGTCGCATGTCGCCGATCAATGGATCAGCGACGAGTGTCTCCGATAAGCTGCCGGGTGTCAATAGTGGGGGAAGCACAGACGTGGAGGCACTTGCGGCTGTAGGCATCGAGCTGAAGAGCGCACAATTGGGCGGGCACATCGAGCGCTAGTTCGTGAGCTTGCAAGGAGATCGTTCAGGCCGGAGGCGGCTACGCTGCAAAGGCTGTCTGCACTTCGTCAGTCACTTTGCTGCGTCGACAAAAGTCGGCAGCTCTAGCGAAGTGAACGTCATCGATCAGGTCGAATCGTAATGCATTGAGCTGCTCGGTTACAAAACATGCGGTGGTCTCTATCGCTGCATCCATTTCACTCCACTGGAAGCACGACTGCGATCCGCAGGTCTCTAGCCATTCACAAGACAGTGCAGCCAAAAGCAGAGCGTTCCGAAACAGCGTCAGTGGAAAACGCAGCATCCAGAAGCAACGCAGTCAACTCACGCTTACGCACCGCACGTCGTGTCACTTTTCCTCTCAACCACACGCTCCATGCGCCGTCGCGCTGTATCGTGACCGCAGCTAGTGCGAGTACAAGTCCGAGACATCCGACGAAATGGTCAGGTCGTCCGTGATCTTGTGTACAAACTGCTCTGGGATCGGCTTTTCCACGAAGTCGTCGCTGTTGGCGCCATTCGGGAACGCCACATTCATCTCTGAACTCTTCGACGTGACAAACTGCACCTCGCGGCCCTCCCACGAGATGTACACGAGACAGCCGTCCGTCTTGTCAATGGCCACAGACGGCACGACGCCCTTGCATTGCACCTGCACGCCCTTACAGTTGACAACCTCAATGCTGGACACGGCGTTGTCGAAAATGAGCTTGGTCTTCTTGCACGAGTCAAACACAATGTTCTTGGCTTTTCCCTCGAGCACAATGGTGGCGCCCTCGCAGCCAAAGATATAGACCTGCTGCTTCATGACAATGCCGCTGACACTCACTGGCTCGGACCCAGTTTGGTATTCAATGTGCCAGTTGCCGTTGCGCTCTTCGCAGACAGGAGGCTTTGCGACCTTGACAGCCTCCACTGGTTTCTTAGCAGCCGCAGCTGCACGTGCAGACGCAGCAGGCGCACTGCTGTTTGGCTTGTAATCCTTGCGCCACGTCTGCATGTCTTTCGTCACCTTCTTGAGCCCTGCAGTCTTCCCGCTGCTCTGATCAATAGCTGTGATCCCAGCAAACACACTGGATAGACCGCCAGCAGCAGCGGCAGGAGCGTCCCCCTTGACTGTCGAAGCAGCAGTTGCCGAAGGCGCGACGTAGCTCTCGACGTCCCCTCCTTTCGGGTTCCACGTCACGCCCGTCGTGTGCAGTGCCTTGACGTACGCCATGAGCTCCGTCAAGAGGCTCTTGAACGACGTGACGAACGCAATCTGCTTCGGGTCCGACGTCTTGTACTGCACGCGGATCTTGTTGCCCCAAAAGTCCGAGCCGCCCACGTACGACTCGATAAAGGGCTTGGGCGCCGGCTCGACACAGAGCCACCCGAGCGCTTGGATGCCCTCGTTCACCATGTTCTGGTGGTTCGTAAACTCGCTCCGGTTGTCCCGCAGCGCGTTCATCTCCTTGATACAGCCCTGCAGCTCCTTCAAGTACTCGGGCGCGGGCATCGCCGACGACGGCTTCTTGCAGCGACTCGCCATCAACAGGTACGCGCGCTGGGCCGCAAACGCCTTCGCAGTCACGTGGCCCAGTCGACGGGTCTCGTCGCCCAGCGCGTCGCACGCCGCGAGGAACGGCGGGAGGTACTGCCGCACGTACGCGTCGTACGCGTCGAGTTGGGGCGACAGCTCTTCGCACGTCGCGGGCGCGGGCGGGCCGGACAAAGACGGGGCAGACGCCGACGCGGCATCGACGCCGAGCTGCACCTCAATGCGCGTGAGGCGCGCGCTGAAGGCGTCCAGGAGACTCTGGAGCGGCTTCACGGCGTCGCTGCTGCTGCTGCTGGAGCTGCTCATGAGGGGATCTATCGCGTTGTTGTGATTGTGGTGGGCCTTTTTCTTCGTCGACTGCGGTGTGTGGGCCTCGCGTTTCGATTGGATATTTATTGAGACTGGAGCGCTTGCGATTGGCGCATAAGGGACGCGCGCGCACGACGACGGCCCGCGCGATTGGACACGACGAGCCAATGAAAAGCGTGCACGGGACGCCTGGACGAATCATTTCGATTACGGCCGTGGCGTTGAACGTTGAGGTTTGTCCTAAACCGGTCAATCGCTGGGCCGAGCGCCAGTTGTTTCTTGTGGGTAATCCATTCGTTGCGTGTACTCGTCAGCAGAAACATTGAAGCAATGGGGCGCATAGAAGTTGTGTTGCAAAGGCGAATGGCACGGCCGACCGTCTCGAAGCACAGCGTTGCATTGCCGGCAATCTATCTGTGCGACTCGAGAGGGTGAGTGAGTCCGACGAAACCGCGTTATCCGAATGCTGCGCGTGTGATAGACGACAGCGCAGTGCAGTACTGCCTTCTGAAGCGCACGAACGGGTGGACGCTCGATACGATCATCACTGAGGCAAAGGTCGTGGAAACGGGTAGCCGCAACTCGTTCCGAGGGCTGCTGTCAGCACGTGGATACCTCCGCGATGCTTATACTATGCGTGACGACATCGAGCCAAACGATGCGCTGAGGGACGACATTGGCAACTGCGTGTTGTGTGGCTTCGGGTTTGCTGGCATTGCGAGACAGTACGTCGATCGCACCTCAGCTTGTACAACAACAAGGTGTCATACGGCTCTGATGCCGATATTGTTCAGCACCAGGTGTTGCAATTGTCCATCGAAATGGCTTCTTCCCGCCTGTCTTGCGCACACACGCACCAAAAGCCATCAGCACATCGATAGCCGACTCCAAACACATATCACAGCGGCATAGCAAAGCATTGCTCGTTGAGCATTACAGCAACCGTAGATGGATCCAGCAGTTCATGCTTTGCTCTCTTCGGTACAATGGGTTCGTAGTGCAGACAACAGCTTGCGTACGCTTCTTTTTTGCTGCACTAACACACAATTTGTACAGTGGATCCGCTTCAACACGCTTTGTTTGCACCGTGAAAAGCGTTCGGTTCACAGTTCTCTACCAAGTAGCCGTCAACGCCCGAGCCAAAAGCACTGATGGTGATGTATCCAGTGACGATCAACCCAGCAGCTAAAAATGAGAACAACTTGCCAGCCAGCACGCACAATGTGGTGACACCAAGCAGCAGCACGATCCAAAACGCCACTAACGCAGCCGCAGCAGGCCCCTGACTCTCCTCGAACAAAGTTTCGGCTCCTGTCGGAAGCTTGCCATCCGACTCGTAGAATGTCTTGAGCAGCGCCTCCTTCCGCTCAAAGCGGGTCTCCAGCCATGCTGCAAGTTCACTTTCACTTTTGCCACGGACGGCCAAGATATCGATTCGCTCAATATAGAAGTTGATCCTCCGTGGCACACGACCAGAAAGTAGCGATTGCTCTGACGGGCGCTCGTTCGCAGCGTAGTCCACGTAAAACATAGTGATGTCGTATACAGCCGTTAGCTGCGACCAGAGCAACGGGAACATGAATGTCCAACCCGTCGTGCGTGGATACAACGAGAATTGACGTCGCGGGAAGCCGTTCTTATCAGCGAACGAATGGCTCTTTTCCACATTGCGCGCACTGAGGTCTGTGCCTTCAGGGAAGAGCAGGTACGAAGTGTCGGGCTCGGCCGCCGTGAGGAACGGCAGTACCTTTCGCAGCTTCACCACGTCCTCCTCCCAGTGGCGTTGCTACAGCAGACAGGGGCAAATGACGCGCAACAAAAAGGTGAGAAAACCTCTGGTCAGCTCCAAACGCCTGCAATGCCACCGACCGTACGAGAAAAACAAACACAAAGTGCTGCATGGCCCAGCCAAAGACGGGGACGCTCCTCAGCGGGGCCTTCAGCACGATCCGCAAGTGCTGCAGCGTGCGCGTACGCCATGCCACGCTCCAGAGCAGCATCCAGTCAATGCGCGTGCGGTGGTTCGATATCCACATCGCGCGGTCGTGCGACATGTCCTTCTCATGAGCTCTCGTCGCAGCGTCGCCGTACACTCGCACCTGAATACGGAACAAGTGCTCTGGACGACAGAGGAATTGCAGTGAGCTGATAGCAGCGATACGCCCTATTCCCTCGCTCGCGCACGTACCGAGCAGCAAAACCACGTGACCCATCCACGCCCATTGGCTGAAAAACAACAATTACAGCCGAGCGTTAGGGTCGCGTGAGGAGTGACCGAACAAGAGGAGTTGGCTGCAGTGCCAGACGCTCGACGCACATCAAGCGCGTGACGCGGCGGTAGAGGCGTTGGGTCGGTATGCACTCTGGCAACGGCAGCGTTATCAATAGAAAGCTCGGGGTCAACACCGTAGCCACAGCTGTCCATCCCGTGAGCACTAGCGATGCGCAGAAGATGACTCCGACTGCAGCGATCCCCATATCGGGCGATCGCTCGACTGCGCTAATCGATGACCTATTGCTGGACCCACGAACCCCTATTTACGCGAGGGCACGCTACTAAATCGGCGACACGGGTCCTCCTAGTTGGGCTACCGCCTGGGAGAGTACTGGTACCGAGGAGAGCAGAAAAACGCGTTGTTTTTGTAGGACGTAATTGAAAATACAAAAGTGCACATCAAGATGGAGAAAGCAACAGATGTGCCGAATAATCACAAAATATAAAACGCACTTTCGATGTATACTATACGGCACATTATCCACATGCCGGCAAACATTCAGTTACATCGACAAATGCATGCTTCATTCGCTCTATTAGTTCGCTGATAAAACCCCTACACATCGCAAAAAGTCGACAGTCTTATAGCACGAAGTAAAAGGTGCGTGGACAGCTCGAGTGTAGCCTAATCTTGTTGTTTATCGTTCTGTTGTACGTCCACGATGCTATTCACTCTTTCATTCAGCTTTTGCCGTTTGACGTTGTATGTAGCTATCATCTCGGCCGGGTCGTCTGTATTGGATGAAATAAGACAGCGCCGTGGTCAAATGACGCGACCCAATGCTCTTATGATGTTAATGTTGCAATGATGTCGCGGTAACATCGATGGTTGCAACAGCATTAAGGGGTGCTGGGTGATTTAAGTCACCGGTGCTGGGATCAACACGCCTGAGCACAACCCACGGCTGCGCAGGAATCAACATTACGGAACTGAGGCAAGACGGAGCCACATGAAGACAGTGGATGAAGGGGGTAAGAGCGATGCGCATCGATGGGTAAGAAGAGGACAAGTGAGAATGGCAGCGTAAGACACCAAGTAAACAATTCCAAAATTTCTCAGTCAAGTGAAGCAGCGTTTCCTGCTTACTAGTTGATTCGCAACGCACTGTTAGCCGAAACTTGCAACACTACAACCGAGGCAGCGTCGATGACGTACAGACAAGCAACGTCAAGAGGATACAACATTGCCAAAAGTTGGTGATACCTATGTGGTGCTAATACAGGTGATCACGTGGATGTTTGCGGAAACATACGAAAGAGTGCACGTTGACAAACACGCAATGCTAATAGCATACTGTGATCATCGTCACGAATACTGTAAGCAGCTGCTGATGGTGGCAGTGATGTCGGTGTTAACGTGGATGTTGCGGTACGGTTGTGCTAAGCTAGACGCTATATTGTTATCTGCAGTAGAGGATACAATGCAAATAGGCGTAGCAGTTCAGTCCTCTCAGTCCACTTCAATGACTTAACTACAAAAACAGATGCATCGTTACGCCATACTTTGTTAACATTATTACCCTACCTGCGACGACGTTATCGTATGATGCTCGCATCGTGGAGTCCATGTAATCAGTGGCAAAGGTACCGGCGTGTCAACAACTTGCATGGTATATTCGTATGTGGTCTATGAAGACAACAGATAGTCCGGCACTTTCAGACCGCCGAAAAGCGTTGTGGTAAGATTGTTGTTAAAATGGCCACAAAACACCTGCAGAATTATCCTTTACATGTCGACGTTTATCCGTGTGATCTCCAACATCTGTACAGTCGATGATGAAGTATGCACACGTGGTGCAGGTCATATTTTATTGCCAATATAGGGTTACGTATCACGAAATATGTACCAGGTATATGATTATCTGGAACATATTTGTGATGCTGTGGTGCTTTTTGCTACTTTGTAGTCATCTGGTGCATGTTTCGTGATGTTCTGGTCCTTTCGTATCTTCGTGATTAATTTGTTGCATTTTCATATCCCCTTCCTTTAACTGCAATAGCTGAGATTAGCAAATTTAGATCTCAGAAGCAGAATATCTCATCATATTTACCACAGGTCCGTCAGATCGCGTACACACGGTCTATCTGCTTGCTAAAATTAGTCTTTTGAACGCTTAAAACCTACTTGAAGATACCATCCACCACTCTGGAAAATGACGACAAAGAACACGACGAAGCGCGACATGAAGCTCCTCGTGAGCTTCGTGGCCATGATCTTCGTGGGTCTCGGCAATAAGAGTAAACGACTGACGCTGTGTGTCGATGAATGCGACGTACCTACTAACGTCCTGTCTGCTCTCTCTCATCGCTCATGGCCCATTCTACTTGCTACATATGGGGTCGTCAGTTTTCCAGAAGTAGGTCTTCTAAACTAGTGCGATCGTTTCGATACTAACGGTCGTCCATAACCTCATCGTCAATACGTGCACTAGACTCCAAACGATCCCAATGCACAATTACCCGACGTTTCTCAACCTGCTCTCCACGTTCATCTACGTACGTTGTGTGTGCTAATTTTCCACAGTGTCGAGCCTGAGGGGCCATTAATGATGTGGACCGAGTGTTGACGACGTCTGCAGATTCCCATCAGTTTTGCGTACATTCTGCCAATGATCAAATATGGCAGTGCCATCACGTGGGACCAGCGCAGTATTCCCAAGCAAAAATTCGCAGTCATGGGAGGACTGGACTCGATCGCTGGCATCTTGCAAGTGTTTGCGGCCACTTATTTGGGTGGCTCGCTGATTATTTTGCTGGGTCAGGCTGCCATCCCAATGACAATGTTGATCTCCAGTTTGCTGTTAAAAGCCAAGTACTCGAGCTACCAATATGTCGGTGCAGCGGTCGTGACGCTAGGTCTGCTCGTTGTGTTGGGTACTGGGCACTCCAGTAGCAGTGCCGGCACGGACTCGAACCTGATCGTACTGTGGTCGACCGTCATGATCCTCAGCTGCGTCCCCATGTGTCTCTCAAGTGTTTACAAGGAAAAGGCACTTGGAGAGACGGAGCTTGATGCAGTGTACCTGAACGGATGGATTGCAGTCTTCCAGTTCCTGTTCTCCATCCCGCTCACGTTTCCCGCCGCTATGGTCGGGGATCATCCTGTCACACCTCGCGAACTTCCAGAGAACCTGAAGGACGGGTTGATGTGCTACTTGGGACAAAACACTGTCACTCATGGTGCTCACGAGGACGACTGTGAAAAGGCGACTCTCTACGTGACGGCATATCTGCTGTTTAACGTAGTCTACAACCTCTTGATCATTCTGATCCTCAAGTTCGGCAGCGCAAACATCCTCTGGCTGGTACGTCATACGTATTCAAAGCTATCAGGTGAGGCAATTCCATCGTATCCTCTTCTAACACGTGTGTATGTATGGACCACCAGGCCATGACGATCATGGTTCCACTTGGCAACGTCGCATTCACGTTCCCATTTATGCCCGAGCACCAGCCACTCCATGCAAAGGACATTGCAAGCTTAGTGCTGATCATGCTCGGCCTCTTCATTTACCGCTTCCTGGCAGAGCTGCTGGATGCGTGGAGCAAGCAAAGACCCATGTACTTCCGCGAAAAAGGGATCGCAGCAGACGAGCAGCTGAAGCAGGCGCTCCTCGCGAGCGATAGCGACGACAACACGGACGAGATGGAGCAAGACGTATAAGACCGTCAAGAGCTCGATATAAGACCAGGTGGTGTTTGCACCGCTTAGCAACTGTGTCGTCCGTCACGTACGACTCTGCCGTACCACTTTACACGGCATACCACAAACCTGCACCCGCTTTTTGGCACGTCCTGCTTTGCGCTAGATGTATGTGCACCACACTGTTCTCGAATGGCCGACGAGCTCCAGTAACCGCCGCCGCGAGCAGCGCAGTCACCCCATCCCTCGAACATGTTGGCCGCCGCGACGAAGCGCTTGGGACGTGCGGCAGGCGCCTTCGCGTGGCACCGCGCGCCTCTGCTCCGCGCGCACTGGTCGCCCGTCTCTACGGACGTTGCAGCGCCGTCTGTGGCTGAGCCGCCGAAGCGCAACAAGCTCAAGATCCCGACCAAACGCGCTGCTGCGCTCCTGCAGCAATTAGAGGCGGAGGCTGTGGCCAACGCTTCGACGGGCAAAGAGATTGAGGCGTTCAAGCCCGGGGACGCGGTCGAAGTGCAGTACCTCTTGAGCCGCACGGGCGGCCGCGTGCAGCGGGTCAAGGGCGTCGTTCTGGCCCGTCGGAACCGCGGCACAAGCAGCTCGTTTGTCATTCGCAACGTGAGTCTGTCGTGTGTGTGTGTGCGTGTGGGGCTCCTGTGCCTCGCTCTTGTGTGTCGTGATGACGGGATGTGCTCTTGTTGCGGCGCGTTGAATCTCTCGGGACGTGTGGACTCATTTGGTGCGTTGTTGGTTGTGATCGTGCGGCTGTGTGGACTGTGTGTGTGCAGCACATTGGCGGCTACGGCTACGAGCAGAAGATATTCCTCCACTCACCGCTGCTGCAGAGCGTAAAGGTGCTGCAAGAGGCATTCATCCATAAAGGCAAGAAGCGCGTGCGTCGTGCCAAGCTCTTTTACCTGCGGGAGAAGGCGCCGAGCTTGACTACGGTTTAGAAGAGACGCGCAGGATTGTCCTGTTGGACAGACCGGTCAGCCAGTAGTCATGTCGACGGTCGAGCCGTGGGACGTGCAGACTCTCTGGACGCTGTGAAAAACAGAGCGCACGACGAAGATGCGAGAGGTGTCAGCTAGAGGAACGTGAAATGAAACCTCACCACCCACGAGCTGCAGACCAGAACAGCTTTGCTTGTTTTTATCACCAGATATAGCTTGTCGACTCTTGCCATCATCACCTGAAGGGGCAGCAGCGACCTTGCACGGCTTTCTCTATCTGCGTTTCTTCTTCTTCAGCTTGCGAATGCCCGAGCCACTGGATACCACGACAGCAGCAGGCTTGTCCGACTCGGTCTTGCGCGCCGCACGAGCAGCCGCATCCAGCTTCAGAGCGTCCTTCTCCGTGCCCATGCCAGCTCCCTGAGCGCCAACAAAACGGTTCCGGCCACGACGGCCACGCTTGCCGTGCGAACGCTGCTTCCGCGGAATCCAGCGCTCTGGGTCCGGGTTCACCAGTCCAATGGATGCGTTGTAGTCCGGGCGAGCGCGAAGCTTGGCTAGATATGCCTCTCTACGCTTGGCACGCTTGCGAGCGATATTCTCCGGGCTCTTCGCTGAGCGTTGCCGTCTTGGAATTGACAAAGAAGAACAATGAGGCTTGCATCCGATGAAGAAACAACGAATGCATAGATCGCCACGTACTCGCTCTTCTTTTCCCCGGTGTCGACAAACTTGGCGGCAAGATGGGTGGAGCGTGGGGCCTGCTTCTCCAGTTCAATCGGATCAGCGCTACTTTCCTCGACGGCGGGAAGCATGGCGCACCGAGCCTCCGCAGCTTCAGGATCGCAAAATGACCTGCGGAAGCCAGACATGTGTTAAAACAGCAACAGGGTTGACTCAGGAGTGAGGTGCCTTACAGAGCGACGACCAGCAAGGCCATGGAACGAAGACGGAGGTCGCGGTCCATAGCGCCCGCGGTTTCGCCTTCCAATAGCTCGATGTACGCATCAGCAGCCTCGCGATATTGCTTCTTCTGTATCTTGTACCAGCAATCACCCTCACGTATCGTCATGGCCCGCTCGGACGTGAAATCGCATGCCTTGTAGTGAGCCAGTGCGCTTTCCAGCACACCTCGTGCTGACGCCGAGTCACCGACTTGTTCGTACAGAGCGACGAGGGTCGCCACAGCACCTGGCGAGTGGGCCAACTGCTCAATAGAGCGTATGCATTCCGCAGCCTCCAGTAGTTTTCCTTCGGTCATGTAGACATGTGCTAGCCCGAGACGACCGCCTACACTTACATCACCCTATGCGTATGCGGCCACGCGAAAGACGCAATCTGAAGTCAGTACCATCAGTAGAAACACCATTGCACAAGTGTGCTGTATCAACCTGAAGTTGCTCAATCGCTGCTGCTGGCGACTGGTCCTTGATGGCGAGTAACAAGGCAATGTCGGCAACAGACTCTGATGCTGGAAACTGCCTCTTCAGGGCATCCAAGCTCTCTCGACATTCCTCCGTCTAGCGACCGAAATAAAACATAAGTGAGGTACACTAGGATCACATCGTATGCACGAGTGAGCCGCATCATTCTTTTCTGTACGCGCACCTTGTTCATAAGACACAGCAGGAGTGTGCGGTTCGCAAAGACAGCCTCCTGCTGCGCAGGGTTCAGCTTGTCCAGCAATACCGTCGTATCAACGTTCTTCAACCGCTTGAACGAGTCCATCAGGTCGCGGTCCTTACGGATCGTCACAATGTTGTTCAAAGCCACGATTTCTACAGCACGGTTGTGTAGTCTTCAACAAGCAAATGTATATGAGGCAAGCGAAACAGACGAGTATAAGACACCCAGATGACGTACTTGAGCTTCAACACGTCGCCATAATCCGAAAGAGCGCCATCCAGTTCGCCGCGCATTTGTTTAACATAAGCCAGCTGCGTCTTGATGACAGCAAGCTCTTCTTCAACTTCGGCTTCTGAAGCACCTTCCGCAACGAAGGTGTCGCGGCACAAACCTTTACAACGTCATTGGGAGAATTTTTAAGGTCAGCAGCGCCATCAAAACATACGATAAACGCTGGACCTACTTTCAGCAGACAACAAGAGCTTCTCGGCCACGTTCCAGTCGCCCGACTGGATGGCCACCAACGATCGGTTATACGCCACTTCGAAACTGTCGTTAATCTGACACGGATCCACGTTCAGCCCGACCCGACAATTTCCTTCACAAGCACAATGTCGAGCGTCCTACCAAGATCTCGCGGTCCTTCAGTTCTTGACCCCTGTCTGCATTTGTGTACGCTGCTAGCAAATTCGTTTGCAGCTCCAAAAGGTCGTCGCTCTAAAGAAGCGAAGGAGAAAGCATTTTCACAGAACACCATTCAGCTCTCCAGACACCACACCAGTACTTACAATGCCAGCGCTACTTTCTACTCACATCCTGAGCGCGTGCAAGTAGCAGTTCGTAGATACAAATGCTCTGGTCATAGTTCCCGCTTCGCAAGTGCTGTTCAGACCAGCATACATCAGTCAGCGCAAGTCGACTCTTTTTCTCGTTGCATCTCGTCAGTCTACTTGCCAGCTGTGCCGCCAAATGCAGCTGCGCAGACGTCTGCGTCTCCAGCTCTGCTGCGTCCAGCAACTTCAGGGCTTCGTCGTCTTGCTTCTGGCGGTACAGACAGTACGCCTTCTCTGTGCTTAAGAAGTCATACTTGCAAGCCAATTCCAGCGCCTTGTCAAACTGAGACCAAACAAGGAAAAACACGTGACGAAACGTCACCACATCAGTCCCTCAGCACTCCACCTACACCTCCATCTACAGAACCAGTTGCAAACATCCAACTCACCTTTTCCAGGCGAATCAGTGCCACGCACTTGACCCGAACTGCGTCCACATCATCGGGGAACTTGGATCGAACTGGGTACACCACATCACACGTCACACACACGACACTTAGCGCTCCCGACGCCCGTCTTCGCTACACGTGTACCTGCGCTACTCACTCTTGTTGCAAATGTCTACAGCGCACGTGTAGTTCTCATGCTTAAGCGCTGCGTTGAGCTCCAAGAAGCGCGCGGAGACCGCGGCGTCTTCGGGGACGGCCGACTCCATGGATTAGGCAAAATACCGGTACTGGCCGAAAAGCTAAAGACAAAGCATTTTTCTCGTTTCACAAGTCAGTTGTGCCCACATCGTGTGAGTGGGTTTGTAGTGTGCAGAGTGGGGCAGCTTGTTGGTCATCTACCGGTATTTGAGCTCATCAATGACCGGTTAATGGGTGGATCTGAAGTGTACTTGTTTTTGCAGGGGTGTAAAGTGGTGCACATGACGAGTGCATCGGGATGACCACTTACATGTAAGCACCATTTGCAAAGGATGTCAATGTATATACAATCCTTACATACAGTTCTTCGTTGTTGATGACACGCTGCTCGTTGGCGAAATGCAGGCCGTGATATGAGTTCATGCAATTGTGATCGTCAGTCAGTATTATGACAGCACATCGGGCAGGGAGCAAGGTGTCGACAGCGATATTCGTGCTTCGATAAATGTAAGGTAACGCTCCAAGCGTAATGTATAAAAATTATTTTAAGGGTACTAATGTTTATACAGGTCTCTATTCACTTGAGTTGACGCGTTCGCAATTAGTTAATTGCGCTACATCATGCAAATTTAGGTTTGAAGCACATGTCCAGATTGTCTTCAGTGAACATAACTTGTACGGTCAGCGGTATAAGCGTCGGGGCCCCGTACCACCTAACAGCACACCGTTGCCCTCCTAACGTCAACGGACACACCCGCTATGGGTGTAGCGGGTGAAAATTGAATCCATGCCGCGCGTATACATTCTCTCATCCGAATGATCTTGTATAGAGGCGATGGAACGTATGAGTTTGATCGTCAATGGATCGTCCGTCATTGCCATGTTCCTTTCGTGTAGAAAGACGGACAACATGCCATGATCGTCAATTCATAAGCAAGAACTCGACGTGGCTGTATGACAGATAGCTTTGCTTCATTAGCACGTTCCCAACATTCAAAGGTTACATGGTAACATGGTACCAGACGGTTGAAACTTTTAAGACAACACATATACACCGCTGTTATTGACTAGTTAGCGCACGTGCGCCGGCCTACGGGCTCGAAGGTTGACATCGACATGTACAGCATAATCGAAAGAGACTCATCGGCAATGTGTTGCGTCAAACTCGACGACGTCATGAAATATCGTCGCGTAGAGGATGATGCGGTTGGCATGCTTCAACTTACAGAATATGCTTATTTGAAGATAGATGACACAGGTGTGGTCCTCTAACTCGCGTTTCAATGATCATCAAAGATTCACATTGCGTGACAATGCGTGGACTCCACAACGCGTGTTTTGTGAAGCACGGCAGTTCAAACATAGGTTTAGACAGGTCTTAATGAATGACACTATTTTACTCGTATGCGGTGATTGTAAATCGTGGTACCTCTGTGTTTGTCGCAGCGCCGCTCGAACTTAAACAATGCTAATAGATCTGTACATTATGGCTCAAGATTTACGACCATGTGCAATCGGTAGTACCAAAAAATGAAGCGGTTCAGATATATCGACAAATCGCAAAATGCTAAAACTAGGGCTCGATCTATGCTCGTGAAGGTGAAGCAAGGCAAGCCTGGTTTACACGCTTAAGCTTTATAAAAACGATATCTCGTAACTTGTTAAACTCGCAAGTCCAATGATGAGCAAACACACATAAATGGATTCGTCAAAGGTCTTGCGGATGTTTCCGTCAATAATCGTGTGCTCCGCCTGTCATTGTATGCTCTTTGCCAAACTGCCTCCCAGGATGAAAAAGGAGATATATATCCTGAGACAGGTACATGCAACAAAGCTTTCTATCATACACTTAAGCAACAGGTAAGAAAAGGCTAAAACATATGGACCACTGCTATCTGGTAAGTGAGAAACCCCTCTTTTCCAAGATTACAAGCGACGTCAAATGTGCAATTGATGTCATACGCTGAAATATTGCTCATAAGTAGATTGACTACCAGCCAATGTTTTAACACACTCTACTATAATAGTAATTAAGACAGCGGATCCGACGTTGTATCAGAAATACAAAGTGTATCAAAATGGATAATACGGTTGGGATCAGGAGAGGCGGGGCGCTCTGCTGACCATTCATCATCAAGAAAATTAAGGGGTATCTCGAAGACTGTTGCTTCCGTTTTACATTCACCATGTGTTGCTGCCCCAATTGATGCGATGCAATCGCCGCCTTGTTTAGGAGAGGTACAATGAATGTGTCACGTTACGTATTAGCTAAAATCAAGAGGTGGAATAATACTTCGCCAGTCGGAAGTGAATTGTAGATCCAACATAATTGAGTGCGAGACCTCTCCAAACATAATTACGTTGCGCCTTGCAACATTTGCATCCGTAGCAATCCATTACATGGGAGGAGATAACATTAGTGACATCATCATACTATGTTTAATTGACAGCTAGATATCATTCTTGGAGTATATAGATCATGGGCTACGAGCCACGAAAAGCGAGAAGCATTGATACGATAAGCTAACTGCCGCTTAATTAACAGTTGGTCATACGATGAACGTCCTATGTCGTCCACAACCGTTTGGATGTATTTCAAGTGAATGTCATGGCAATACTTTTATAATGTCCATTTGCGCGACCGCACAAATTAACCCAGTGTGGCATTTATCGAAACTGTAAGGCAAACCGACCCTAGCTGTGTCAAACTAAACGGTTTGTAGATGACACTGATGACTCCATATTGCAAAGTAGGATACTACTACCCCGTAGGAAGTAATCGCAAACAAAGGATGCGTCGGACTTACCAAATATAATGTTGAGTACTTGTTCGTGCGTTACCCCAATATATTGTGGCATCACACGTTACAATTGTTATATGATTCAAAGTATTGAGAAAAGACTTGTTTACTTTATGGTGATTTTGGATATAATTTCAACTTATCATAACATTTCAATATTCTTTTGTTAATCTTTTTTTACCTTGTTCGAATTTTCTGGTAGCCGCTTTTCGAAGAAGAGAACATCACACAGTCTGAAATTACAGCACATAGATGAGCCAAAGCAATTTCTTCTATAAAAGATGGCGGCTTACCATCCGTTACATGCCCGCTATCCTTGTTTACTCCCGGGTCAAAATGCTCGTCCGTAGACGGACCGCTGGTACGAGTTGCACCTTTGCTTAGGGAAGATTTGCCCGCACGAAGAGTCGCAGTTGGAATCCCCGATTTCCCTGTCCAGGAAGATGTCTGCGAAATCTTGTTAAGCAAGGGGGCCTTGTCTCCGTCCTCCTTCAACTTCGCCGTAGTCGCCGCCAGGGTATCCGACAATCCAGAGACATGATGCAGGCTACCTTCAACGTTTGAGTGGTTGAAGATCAGCCACGGACGTGCTGAGGTTCAATCAGCACGCCTGTGAGCTCTCGATGATGTTTTGAAGATGCCCTTACACCCGCCTCACTTATAAATCGAGTGGTGAAGCGAGTAGCAGGCGAACAGGGAACTCGTGAAAGTGCCGAAATAGTGGAGGAGGATCTCCGAGTAGGAGGTTGAGGTGTGCGTAACCACATTTAGTTGTTCGCTAAATGACACCATGTCGGAAGTCGCCAGAAAAAGTTGGAATCATACGCCTCCGAGAAGTGGTAGCACACGCGAGTTACGGATGTCACCGCACATGACGCACTGGACGCCAAAATAGCTTGAGCCGAGCTAGCCGCCACTCCATTGACTAGAACCCTCATTTGATAGTGCAATAGATGGATATCGGATGACGTAGCCGGTAGCGAAGGAGCAGTAATGCCGTCGCGCTCCATGGTAGCAGGAAATAGAAGCTGAAGACGCTTCCCGCGAAACAGAATTGACGTTGAATGTCAACTCTCTGAATCCGCTTGAGTCGGACTTATGGTAGTCAGCCGTATCGTGTCGACGTCGTAGCTGGTCCGCGTGGCACCCTTGACCAGTTCCCGACTTAGGACATCATGTTCCGTATCCCCCTGACTGCGTTCCAGGAGCTGGAGGAGCAACGTTGTATCAGCGATGTACTGGGGCATGCGCGCGTACGGTGGCACGATCACAATTATCTTTCCTACCAGGTACGTTTCAAAACAATCAAGCATCACTACCCGCGATGCTTGCGGTTGCGTGCCGACCAAAACACTGGTGGTGACGGGAGTATGATGCTCTTTATCATCCAGGCTGCAAGAGCCTCTCCCTCAAGCTCGATCATTGGACTCAAATCATCTTCTTCATCCACGTCCTAGTGTCCGTACGTATCAGAACCACCCTGTGGTCCTGAGAAAAATTTGACCACGCCGCGCCTGGGTAATGTTGCCAGCACGGGTAGGAATTACTAGCCGGATTAACTTTGGTACCCGGGTGTCAAAATTCATCGATGTGGCCACTAAGCATTTCTTCAGTGTCATTGTAGCAATATTCGTATGACCCTTGGGCTAAACTCTTCTTCGAAATCAGGTCGGCGACAGTCGTCAGAATCAGGTCAGCAAAATTCGGTGGAGTACAGTCGTCAAATTTCTTCAACAATAGATCGGCAACAGTCGCCAACACTAGGTCGACGACCGCCGCCAACATTTGGCCGGCGACCGTCGCCGACTCCACTGACCGCACCAGCGTACGAGTGCCACCGACCTTTCGTCTTTGGCACGAAATCCAGGTCGCACGTCCTATGCATTCCCCCAACAACTCCTGGGCGCATGGGCGGACCGTCACCTCCCCCGACATCCATCCCATTCTCCTCGGGGACATAAGTAAGATGATTGCTCTGCACGAGCGCGCTATGCCTCCTCATCAGTAGTATAGCAGCGCTGTGCACCTCTCTGCTCTCGGCAGGTCGCATAGTTGTAGACACCCTTCCACGTGCCAGTGTTTGGTTCTGCGTACCAGGTCGCAAATCCGGAGTGGCCAAAATCGTGGACTTGGTCGTTCCTACTGTACAGATTCGCTGTGACACCTTGCGTCGTCATCCGACCAGGCTGCCACTACGAAGAGAAGGAGGAAGCGACGGCAAGTTGATGCTGGAAGACGGCGTCGCGGTTAGATCTCTGTTTCGAGTG